TGTTTCTGATCATGGCCCATAGTTTGAATCCCGCATATTCCAGGAGTTCCTGAAGTCCAGAGGGATTTACCACCATCGTTCTCCGACATACCATCCACAAGCCAATGGTCAGGTTGAGCGCTTCAACCGAGTGCTTAAGCAGTACGTCCAAACTATCCTGCAGGAACAAACCAACGTTCGTACAGGCCTTGAGTTTCCGGGTGTCTACCGAAGTACACCACATGCAGCGACGAAGCTCTCCCCCGCTGAGCTCATCCACGGACGTAAAATGCGTACCCGTATGGACATCGTGGGCTTCCCAAGTCTTGACGAGCCCGTTCACATCGAGATGCAGCAACTCCGCCAATGCATTGCTGATTACCAGAAGCACAGCAAGCAATACACAGATGATAGGCAAAGAGCCAAACCATTTACAGCGGGTGTAGGAGATTATGTCTGAGATTATGACCGAAGGGAACACCATCATTTGACCCCTCTGAAAGAAATCATGAAGCTGTGGGGCCAAGCACCTTTTTTGCTTATTCTTCCATCTCTTTTACCTCTATCCCCCCATAGATTGGTTGATCCTTTCTTTTTACCTTCCCTCCACAATCTTTCATTTATTAATCATATTTCACACAAAGACCACCATCTCCTTCTCATTAAAATTTGCTGATGAAACCTTAAATTTTGTATGATTATTCAGAAAAAATTATGTATGAAAGGGCAGAGCCTGAGTCAGTCGAGCTGGAGTCCTATGCGAGGCTAGGGTAGCTTATGTGTCTGTGCAAGGGGATGATCGATTGAACTGGTGAGTATGGGATAGCTGGAGATGACTTCCTGAATGTAATTATTGTTTCAGAGGTTAGATGGTACTGAATTGTGGCGATTATTAATTATTAAATGAACTCTCCAAGTGTAGGAACTATTAAACAGGCAAGAAATAAAAAGAAAGCATTATTCTAGTACATCGTTACTTATGCAACTTTACATTTTAACGTTTGAAGTGTTCCTCTACCACAAAGTTTTATTATTATTACTGTTTTATATTGATTTAATCATTCAAATCTATACCACCATGTGTTTTCTTTTACATACACATTGTATGCTGAGTACAGAGTTTTGGCTGAAGCTAAGACGTGTTTTGTACACCATTTATTTGTACTAACCTTATAATTGGGAGGAAACATGTGCTTCATCACAATAGCAACATTGCTGAAGTAGAGGTTTCAAGGAACAAATACAATTAACTTGGAAGTCTGCTTGCCAGTGGAAGGACATTTTTCTATGACATCTGTGCAGTAAAAAGCCCACAAGCGTGCTTCTAATTAAAAATGCACGCTATCCAGAATAGCGCGACCCGCAAAAGCGGTTCTTCCTACGAGAATGTGCCTTGTGGAACAGTTTGAAACTCAGAAAAGAGCTTGTACCCTGGATGGAGGGTTTCCCCCTTCTATTTGCTGTTTGGCGGGAAAGCGGCGGACCAAGTAACTCGCAAGTGCGCTTCCCCTTGCACGCATTTTCCTTGTGGGAAAGCGCAGAACCAGCAAATGTACTTGTCAGTTGCAGTAAGATGGGAAAGCAGTAGACCTAACGTTCCATAAGCGTGCTTCTCCCTTAAACACCGAGTTTTGCAGGAAAGCAAAAAACCTGCAAGTGCGCTTCAGCTTACGAAGTTGTGTACTGCGGAAAAGCGACCTAGAAATACTTCTTCATTATCTACATTTATTGCAAGAAATCCATGCGCGAATCTCATCCTCCGAAGAGCACTTATGGCAATAGGCAACATTGATTGACTGAACATGACTTTACAACTAACCAAATTACAGATTTCTCACTGGCGAAATTAAAAAAAGAAAAAATCATTGATTAGATTTAAACTGTTTTCTCAAAATAATTTTTTGAGAGAAATATAATTTCTCTGAAAATAATAAATACACTAGAATATGCAAGATCAACCAGAGACATATACTTTAGTCTGTCTGCCTGATTCTATACCTCTCTCTGCTGGTATTTGAGTTTGTATGCTTGTTCACGCACGCAGTTCTTTTGTTGACTCTACCCTTTCCCTTGTTTTGCTATACCTGAAGAACGAGCTGAAAAGTAGAGAGAGCGTTCAATCCTACAATTTACTTGTGCCTCAAAGAAGTCTTATATTTGCTCGTTATCCCCATATCAATATTACTTAATAATTATTTTACATGGAATGAAAATATAAATACACCTGAAAACAATAAAATAGTTGAGGTTCCAGTGGTAAAATTAATGTTTTTTTTTTAATATATCAAAATGTTTGATTTGAAACATCGGTATCCAAATCATACTTGGGTAGTCATTTAATTACAGTAATTAAATTAATGTAATTTAATTACTTTTCTGGTAATTTGTAATTCATTACTTCCTGCTAAAGGGAGCTGCAATTGTACTTTATTTGCTTTTTAGCATCAGTAATTACAAACTTTGAGGCACAATTACAACTACTTTTGCAAGGATTTCCGGTGCCAACCGGAAATCCTTGCATCATCAACACTGATGATGACATCAGTGACGTCACTGATGACGTCACCGACATTAGCATTGTCATCATCACTGATGATGTCATCAGCAAAGTAATTTGTAATTGCAATGAATTATTTCTCAGGCAGTACTAATTGTAACTGTAGTTAAACTACTTTTGGAGCAAAGTAATTGTAATTAAATTACATGTTAAAAGTAATTTACCTGTATGATTAAAGTTGTGGTCTAAATCATGATTTCGATTTAAATCAACTTGATTTTTATCCTCCACCCTGTCGATATGTGTGTCAGTGCATGACCACTGCCAATCATTTCATTTGCAGCATGCGACATTGAGCCCTCAATTCTTCATACGAGGGCAATGGGGGATGGCCAAGGGATGAAGATGGGCTGAACAATTTTTTCCAACATTTTGTTGATATACTATTAGATAACTTTGCATCCTGCAGGTGAAATTCGGTACGGTCTGCTTTTCTGGAATCGATTGGATGGACACTGAATCTATAAGTCGATTGAATCAGGATGTCCCATGCAGGAACCAAACTGTTTAATTTTTTTATAGCTAACTTACTAATATTGTAATATTGCTGCTTTTATGCTTCAAGTGTGTAGATAAGTGGGTAGCACAAATGCTCAGAAAGAGTGACAATGTCATGTTCTTTATATAGTTGATTATAGTGGAGACAAGAGCTTCTGGAAAAGTATTTGCGACTCTGTGTAGGTGTCAATCAGGCAAAGGCAAACGCTGCCTTGTACCGCAGAGACACAAGGAATTATCTTACACCACTTTTCTTTGCAAATAATGATTTGGCAGCGCTACAGCGATAGTAGATAGTGCTGGCAAAAAAGGGCTGTCATTTGTGGCCCTCGAATTAGGAGGGTCAGCAACAGGCTTATAATAATAATCATCTTTATTTTGGGTATCATCAGTCTTTATCTTGGATGCCCCGTGGTGCACCAAGACAAACAATAAAACCAGCAAACAAAAAAAATCCTAAACACACTTATAAAGTTAACAAACAAATAAATGTAAGATTATCCAAATGGTGACCGTACATTGCAACAGATGCAGATATATAAAGGCGAGGTGGAGCGATGGCATCATATGACTGAATCCGAGAGACGTGAGGTATTGCACAGTGAGCACACATAAAAGCATACGAAATGTCTGGTTACACATGAAGGAACATGAAACAGTTCTGCTCTAGTTTGCCTGTAGTTGTTTAGAAAGGCATCGGTGGACATCTTCACAGACTCCTTCTTTAAATAGGGTGGACATGCCTGCAAGAAGCAGTAACATCATTCCACATCGCATAGGCTGTAATATTTGCTATTACCCATGTGCAATAGGTGTTCGTTGCCCGTAGTAATTACTCTGCATGTGATGTGCAGGAATTTGTGGCTCCCGTGTCGACCAAGGCAATGAATTTGTGAGCCAAATATTAATGTCTTATTATTGTCACTCCCAATAAAAGGAATTTCCTTGCATCTTGTGGAAGTGGTACCTGGGCTCCGGATCATTTGTTTCCTGCAGTATGGCACCCAGGCCCAATCCCATGCCATTCAAGAAAGAAAATCGGGACGGCACGTGCAGTTGCCTGGTAGAAAAACAGCTTTTCTACCAGGCAACTAGAACCCAGTTATCTGGTAGCTGTGATGCTTGGCCGAACAATGCAAACAAAGAAATTGTTAGCTATCTGGGCCAGCAGCCTCTGAAAAGCATTCATTTAAAGATTAGCAGGAAAATAAAAATAAAGTGTTGGTTTCAAACTTTTGGACATAAAAGGAATAGAATACTAACTCCAGACGACTACTACTTATTTCAACCAGCAACAAAATTCATCACTGTCATTGCTGGTTGAAGGAAGCAGTCCACTGTAGTTTCTTTCCATTCTTTGTGTTGGAAAGTTTTTGTATAATCTACTGATATGGCCATACATCCTTCGACAGTAAAACAAATTTTTTTGAAAATGCTGTAAACAAATGCCTCCACAGCGCACTTCCAGCTTGTCGGAGTAATGAACCACGTCTCTGCAAACTGTGGTGTTCTCAATACAATGCTAGTATCAAGCTTAATACTTTGCGACAATGCTCTCGTGTTAAGCTTTTCCTTGTTGCACCAGACACGCGGAGAAGCACTCGTGCTCTCGCTGTAAGTTTTCCCACATCGCACCGGTGCATGTGAAAAGCACCAGCTCTTTTTTGGTAACCTTCTCCACGCTGCGGAGAAAAGCCAGTGCTCTCGCAGTTAGCTTTCTTACGTTGCTCTGGTGCACGCAGAGAAGCACCGGGCATTATTTGTGCAGTGATCAGAAAGGAAAAAAGGGGCCCATGTGCGCTAGCTATTGTTGGGGCAGGATTGATATCAAATGCAGTGTGTTGATGTAACTACTAAGGTATAAGACAAATTGACACCCCACCAAATGTAAGTAAACAACATCAAACTCGATTTGTAATTCAGAACAGTTTATTCACATTATAACAGAAAATTCCGATTCCCTCGAAGCACTTCAGACTCGGAAAGAATCATCGGACTGTGCAGCGCCTAGTTGGTGGTTTCTTCAGAGCCAATTTACACAAGTAGCAACTTGCTCAGTTTTCAAGGGGCCTTGTTTTTGGAGCCTTCTTGTTACCAGATGTGAGGCCCACAAACTTTTTGCTATAAATTCCCCAGCCTCTTAGAAAGACTATGTCGTCAGATTAACAAAACTTTGCTGGAAAAGTCGGAGAATTCTGAAGAGACAACATGGCGCAGTCAATAGGGCACCCTTGATGGTCCAGCCGTCCCACGAGCGGGTCCCTGGCATTGCCTCCTTGTGGTCCTGCTGGATCTTGGCCCTGGCCATCTTCTCCAGGCTGCTCCGTACTTGCTGGCCCATGAACCCAGCGAGGACCTGCACACGGTACTTGACATTAGCACCAAAGCTGATTGTCAGCTGCAGTCACCTCACTCGCTCAAATTGTTAAAGATGTTGCCTTGAAGATTTCACAGAAAAGGTGCTGCGCCTTTAGCTTTACATACAAGGCACCTATGCCAAAACGTCTAACTGGGACCGGTTGGCATCTCGACTGGTTACAACTGGAACTAACTGGTGCCAAGTTGGAATTGGCTGTTATCAATAGGAGTGCAACTGGGACTAGCTGAGGGGTCAACTGGCTTGACTATGCCCAGATGGGGAACGGGTAGGGGTAACTGGGACCAGTTAAGGAGTTAACTGGTTGGAGGGATTCCCAGGGGAAGTTTCAATTGTTTTCCCATTCCCTGTTAGGGTTCACATGCCGTGTCCATTTCGACAAGATGGGGGTGTATTGATCTTTGCTAGTGAAGGAAAAAAAAACTTAAATATATAGATTTACAGAAATGGATAAACCTTTAATTACTAGGTATACATTTATGTATTTAAAAAAATATGTCAAATTTTAATGTACATATCCTTTTATAAATTGCAATATAATTAGTGGCATAAAAAATATTTACTTAAATCAACATTTATGTACATGTATAAAAATGTATTAAACATTGAAGCAAAGACCTGCTCCCTTTTTTTTTTTAAATCGGACCCAGCAGGCCGTTGTGACACGCATGCGGATTAGTTTTGCGCGTTGTCGACAGATGGCACATGTGACGCAGTGAAAAATCACCAATCATGATTTTTAACGATGATGAAGTTGAGAGGCTGAAGGTACAGAATATTACAGTTGAGAAAGCTAGTAAATACAAGTACCTAGGAGTATGGATATGTGATGGTGCAGAATATCTCAGTGAGCATGAAAAGTATATAATAGGTAAGGGCAACAGAAATGCAGCTGTCATGAAAAATAGAGCACTTTGAAATTACAACAGATATGAGGTGGTGAGAGAGATTTGGAAAGGGGTCATGGTGCCTGGCTTGACTTTTGGAAATGCAGTGCTATGCGTGAAATCCGAAGTGCATGCGAGACTAGAAATAAAACAGTGCAGAGTAGGTAGGCTGGCTTTGGGGACACATTGCAAAACACCAAACCAGGGAGCTAGTACAAGGAGACATGGGATGGGCGTCATTTGAGAGCAGGGAAGCGGTGAGCAAGATAGAATTTGAGGATTAGTTGAGGCAAATGGATGGGTGGCAATGGGCACAAAAGGTTTTCAGCTATTTATACATGAGGAGTATAGATACAAACTGGAGACAGTGCACTAGGGAGTTAGGAGGACAGTTTTTAAGGCTATAGTGGACTTAGGAAGAGCAGGTGTCAGTTAAGGCCACAGAAAGAGATTGGTGGCTAGAGAGAATGCAGACAAAGACGGCTCTGGAAAACTATAAATTAAACAAAACAGTTATTGCCAAAGAAAGCATTTATGACCATTCTAGGGGAAGCTCATTGTTGTTTGAGGCGAGGACGGGTGTACTGCAAACCAGAACACACAGAGCGAAGTACCAGGAAATGGATACAGTGTGCACTGCTTGTGGAGAGGAGGACGAGACGGCTGAGCACTTGATACTTGATACGAAGAGAACATAGATTTAATAAAGTCATTGGGTTTTAGAAACAGCGAAGGAACAGTGGATTTCAAGACAGTAGAGATTACCAAGCAAATATTAAGTGAATGGTGGCAGAAGGCGAGAGAAAACTAGGTATTTTCTTATTAACTGATGGCAAGGGTGTTTTATAGCCTCACTTTCTTTGCAGTGCGGAGTGAATATAGCCTTCACCTTTAAATATTCTAAGCTTCAATGGTAAAACAAAATGGCTAGGTGGCGTAAGCTACCGCCCGATCCAAAGGACTCAGCCGGATTCATCCATCCGTCCATCCAGTGGTCGGTAGAGAAGGGAAACCATCGCCAAAGTTAGTGTATTGATAAACGTGTCGTTATGAAAATGTCAAAACCATATCTGCGCTTCCTGCGACCCAACGGTGAACTTCGAGGGCAGAAAGATGCAGTTCAACGACCGGAGGGCAGCCAGGGAGAAACCAGACGGAAGAGAAAACAGCCGCGGAGAGCACAATGGTAAAAATGGCGGAAAGTCTACCCGAACTGGCAGCTGTTGTGACACAAGCAATTGGAATTGTTTGATTGTAAGGTGGGAGCGCAACCGCATCCTATCAGGACTTCACCTGCGCAACGCGGAAACACGGGTGAGCACCTTTCTTCACGCGATGGAGGGAAGCTAGGGACGTCGTCACGGGTGCTAACAGACGCCAGCGGCTAATCTTTCACCTCGCACAAATACTCGCTCTGAAAGGGCGATTCAATCGTCGCAATTAGCTAACGAGGCAACTGAAGCGGTCCTTAGAGCTACGCTGTGCTTCCTTCAATCCGGAAACGTGAACGTCACCGAACCTATTTATTTTCATTCTCGGTTTTTGACAATAAAGACTGGTCAACCTTCCAAGTTGTGCCGTGTTTCGTTGCTGGAGTTGGCACCGTTCTGTCAACCAGTTGAATCCAACCAGTAATTTAGCTCGCCACGTGCGCAGGTCAATTTTCAGTTCCCCTTTTTACGGTGAGCCTTGCAATCGTAGCCGCCCTATATTCGCGCTCTTTAGTGCAGGGACATAACGCACGTGTGCATACCTTGTTGCCGATCCGGTTTGGGTGGACGCCGTCGCGGTGGATCCACTGGTGCCACTCGTCAGCTAGCCCGTCAAGGAACGTGAACCCTTCCCTGCGACACAACTCTCGCAGCAGCGAATTCACCTCTCGGTAACGGTCATTCGAAGCCTCGATCTCTGCAGCGTGACTACGCTGCCATTCCAATGAGCAGAACCTATTCTCCCGTCTCGGAAGAACGGCAGAAAAGGCGATCTGCATCATTGGATTGCGTTCACAGATATGGGCAGCTAGACGACGATATTTGTCGATGTACACGCTGGCACTAATATGGGAATTATTAGTGCCAACCTGTAGGATGACAACATCAAAATCGGGTAGCTTCTCAGACACCTGGGAAAACAAGTGCTCGATTCTAATACCACTAAACGGCGCAACCTCAACAGCCAACCGACTATTCAATGGCAAGTACTTCACCATCGAATCGCCGGCTACCAAAACTCGAGGCACGTTGGGGGTGCGATCAAAGCTAAAATACAAAGAGTAGCACTAGATACGGAAAAATGTATTGCTAAAAAGAACAAGACAATGCTAAACAAAACGCTTCAAAGAGTGCGAAAAATCAGTCAAAATAGCTTGCGTGACCGGAGCCGACAGCAGCGCGGCCAGGACCCGACCACAGAAGACTACAGCGGCAGACGCACATTGCGCACATGGTCGGCCACATGTCATAACAAAGGCAACATCCGGGGCCGGGGATGATACGTTACTTCCGGCGTCGAAGGAGTGATTTCCACACAGCCGTCTTTCCTCCGACGCGACTACGTCACTTCCGGCGTCGGAGGAACGATTTGCACACAGGTCCCACTCCTCCGACGCCCGTCGGAGGAAGCACTTCCTTTTACTTATCATATCTACTTCTCTCACCCAAGTCGAAACCTGAAATATGTTCTACCAAAATTCGCCCCCTTCCACCCGCCTTCACCGCGGAGCTTCGCCTCATTTTTTGACCTGCGTCCCCCTCCGCTCTTCGCTAAACGTCAACACTACCTTCTCCCTTCAACCCTCAGCAACGCCTGAAAAACCCGCGTCTCTGCTTTCGTCGTCACTGCAGAGCTATCGCAGAATCTTCCTAATGGTGCCACCGCGCCAAGGCCGTACTCCGTCCCAGGAGCGAGCGCGGAGGGAACGGCTGGTTTCTGTGGCTCGCGACCGGCGGAGCGCCCACACTGACCTCCAACGACAGGAAGCACGTGCCGTGCGTCCACTGCAACTTGGAGGTCCCGAAGTACGACAGCGCGAGGCGGATGCGCGATACATGGCGACGTACAGCTATCGCTTTTACTTATTTGCACATTGTGGGGCAAAAAGACGCCTTTTTATTTTGCTTCATGTGTATGCCACCAGCTTCCCTATCACTCAGTTTAATACAATGGTATAGCAAACTCTGTGAATGCAATATCTGTCCCAGCAAACAATCTGTCCACGGTTGCTGTTGGTAAGAGTGGAATCGGCCAAGAGTTAAGAATAACTCAAGACTCTAAAAGTAAAGTGCAATGGGCACTGAAAGGTGCGTCCGTATATAATTTCATATGCCCGGTAGCTTTCATCAGACACCTGCTTTCTGGATTCTCCCTGTTTTTAAACTTTTTGAGCGTGCGGATAATGTATTGAAAGCTAGAACAAACATATGTATTCGCACATATGCAAGAGCAGAGAGAATAAAGCAAAACCTATTTATTGCAAATCGCACTATAACTCACTTGGCCTTTATTTGATTTTAATCGATCGTTTAGGCACGTGCACGGGGAATTCCTGATCCAGTGTTACTGAGTAATTCTTGCAGTCTCAATTGAATTAAGGTAGCAATGCAGGCGAGTTGACTCATGACTTAATAAATTAAATGCAGCGCGCAAGAAAGACAGGGACAAAGAGAGAAGCAGAAGCTCAAAATCAGCGCTCTTCCTGTGTGCCTCTGTCTTAATCCCTGTTTTTTGGGCGCTGCATTTAATTTTTTTAAGTCTCTTGATTTTCCAGTTACCCTACGTTCCTTTGGCACGCAAATCTCTTCTGCAGAAATTGCCTGACGCCGTGTTCGCGCTAACAGTGTCCAACAGTCAACATAAAAGCATACATAAAGCTATCTTAGCGCTCTGTTTAATAATTGGTGTCATGAATTTTAATTGTACGGAACCAATATTTTCGTCGATGTGATCAAGAAATGCTTCTAAGTATTTATTACTGTAGAATTATTCATATCTGCTTTTCTAATCAAGCACAGAGAGAAAAGGCGCTGGCTTTTTCTTACAGAAATAAGCATTACCACATTCTTAAAAAAAAAAAAAAAAAAAGCTCGTGTGTTTACTTTCCCGCACAACACAGTCAAGAAGGTAGGAGAAGCTCCTCCCACAAGCGTGATGCGCCCGTTTCAAGTCCCTCCGCAGTCGAAAGAAGAGTTCACTGGAAACGCTCCTTATTCCGCTTCAATGGACAGATATTGGCTACAGAGATCGTTGTAGAAGACACAGCACAGTCGGCACCGACAGCAGACGCCAAGATTTAAAGCACACACACGCACACGCCCGCTTGCGCGCGCACGCACGCACATACGCACGCGCGCACACGCACATACGCACACACACACACACACACAGACACACACACAAAAGAAAGCTCAACATACCGCGATAGTGCCGGCGTGGGTGCACGAATTACAGGGGATATCGTTACCGCACGCTACGCGAGAGCGGAGCTATCGACATCACTGTCGCTTTCTTCTAAATTAGTTTCGGTTGGAAGAAGCCTGCGGAAGTGAAATAATTTGGCGGGTAGTACCTAACTGCTTACATATTTGTTACAGCTTCCGATTGGGGCATACATACCGTAGGTTGGATATCGATTTTGTAAATTCAATATGCCCTCTGCATTCATTATTAAAAAAGTTAAATAAAATAACTCCGTTAATTAGCTACATAATTGCACAAACAACCATTTTTTAGTGGTTGCCAAGTCGGGTAAGCTAATCCAAAAAATGAAACTGTCCTAATGCAACTTCTTTTTTTTTTAATTTTTTTGCAGTTAAACAAACAAAACGCCCTGTATATTATCGCGTAATTTCTTACACTTTGCCACACCCTACCGTTGTCTAAACGCCAAAGCTACGAGCTACCAAATTTAATCAAGGGCCCTTTAGACACCACGTGGGATTTCTCACTGACAAACTATCAATAGGGGTGGCCAAGGGGGCCACACAAAGCTAACGTTTTGTTGTCTCCTATCATTACACCCAATTGAGGGGTGCCGCACATATGCAACGTCACAGTTTTATTGGGTCCATGAGACGTGTGAGCGCGGCCACAGTGGCACTCAATCGTCTCTTACGTCTTTTGGAAATGCTGGCTCCCATCATCCCACACCGAAAAGGCTACAATAAGTTATTTACAGCTTCTTTGCGTATCCCATGTTTCGATATATAACGTGTAAAAATGCAACCTAGCAAATTTGATGGCTATTCAAATACGTAAGTCACCCATTGTAATTTTTTGAACTGTAAGAGCTGCCACAATTCACCCCCCCCCCCCCCGGCCCCTCCACCCCTTTCCCCTTTTTATCTCATACGGAAATCTCCAAATAGCTATGATTGAAGGGATACACTTTACCCTACCCAGAATCTTGCTCGTTATAATTTTGCGTGAAGTATCACATCGTAACAAAGTAATGCCATAAAAAAAAGAAAGCCACTTCAAAATTATACAGAAAGGAATGTAAACTTTGTGTTGACTGCGAAGGGCCATAGAACTGCGGCTAGCCGCAAACACCGCATTTGAGGGGCACAAATGGGAATTTGTCACTTGTAATTATTAAACTGCTTCTAAGGGTGTAGGCCTGTCTTTACTTAGTTAAGCCTGGTAACCAACGTATCCAGATTGTATAAACAAGCTAGAACGCAGACATATCAGTGAAAGGATGATTCTAAGCTCAATTTCCATGAGATAAGCTATTGTGCAGCAGGGTAATACATGATATAATTTCAGGTCCATTGTCTTCCATTTTGTTTTCTCGGAATGGTAAGCTTACCTTTAATTTTTGAAGTTTTTCTATATCTTGCTCTGCAATCTGTTCTTGATCAAGCAGGCAACGTTTCTTGTCCTCTGTGCATATTTTCACAGGTGGTGGCCCAAAAAACAATAAATAAGCAGGAAGAAATAAACGTTTAATGTGGCGAACTTGTGCCAAAAATAAAAGGGTACACAAAGTAGAAGAACAGAGCGCGCGGGCGAGACTGACTCCGCTCGCCTTGCGGAATCCCTTATGTACCCTCGTGGGTTTCTGGATCGTTCGGCGTAGAAGGTTTGACGCGTAGAACATTCCAACACCGAATCAGCAAGACGGTTCTCGAATTCACCAGAACATCAGATTACAGTCTCAACAAAATTGTGTAGCCGCGACCAGGAATCGAACCCTGACCTTGTGCGTGGAAGGCAAGCGCGATAACCGTTAGGCCACGCGCGCGCTGCCTACTTGGGCAGCTTTTTTTTTTTTTTTTTTTATTGCTTGTTTTTGTTCAGGTGACAAACACATTACACATACAATAAAAGGTTAAAACAAAAGCCCCAAAGGCTATTGTACAAACATCAAGCTTATCAAACACATTCACAGACTAGTGATGGACGCCAGCTCCTCAAGAAGCGGCAGAAAGTCCGGGGGTGGCTGCTGAACCTTAAACATTTCTTTCAAAAAACAGATAATTTCAACAAAATACCTGTCTGCGGGACGCACGTCGACGTCTGCGTGTCTTACAGCCATGCGGCAGCGCCACAAGCTATGGAGACCGACCAGCATGATCATGTCATAGGGTACCATGCTGTCTCCTCCATCAACAGGCAAATAACGGATTCCGTGAGGTGTTAACGGTAGGTCCTTTTTAAGGGTCCTTTGAAGGACGTCCCAAAGGAACACTGCGTCCCAACAGTTAAGAAAAACGTGTTCTATCGTCTCTGGCATTTTACGAAGTAAACAGTTTACCGACCATGCAACGGGAATACCTTTTCCCTCTAAAAAAACTTTGACCGGTAGGGTTTCACTGTGTAGTTTGAAGAAAAAAGATTTCGTGAAGGCAGGTACCCTCATTTGCTTGACACGCTTCAAAATATCTTGACCACTTTCCGCACTGTACAAGGACCGGTACAGTGGAGTGGGAAAAAGGGAAAAAATCAAATCTTTGGTCAAACGCTTGCGCGACACACTGGACAGATACTCGAGCGAAAACCGCGTCGCCAAAAACCGATAAGCAGACACA